TGTACATGCCCAGCCCATTGCAATCTTTTAAGCTTTATCATCACTGAGATCTCTGGCTCCTTATATAATTTGTATAACTCTTTATTACAAGGCTTGTCCACAAAGTAAGTTTCCCTAGGGCTGTTTACAGAAACAAAACACAATTTCATGGAAATATTTATTGCAACAGATACAGCAAGTGTTCAGCTATTTTTCAACATAATCACCACTGGAATTGAGACATTTGTCACACTGTGGGACCAATTTTTGAATACCTGTGTCGTAGATGTCTGCCGCCTGAGATTGGAACCACTGTGTGACAACCACCTCCACCTCTCTCTCATTCTCAAAATGCTGATGCTCACCAGACAGGAATTTCTTGAGGTGTAGGAAAAGATGGAAATCACTGGGAGCAAGGTCTGGGCTGTAGGGTGGATGATTAAACACCTCCCAGCTGAACTCCTGCAGGAGACTTGTTGTCCATCGAGCCGTGTGCGGCCTAACGTTATCGTGTAGGAAGACAATACCGGCACTAATCATCCCGCGCTGCTTGTTCTGAATGGCCCATCGCAATTTCTGCAGTGTTTCACAGTAATGCCCAGCATTCACCGTCTCACCTCTGGTCAGGAAGTCGACGTGGAAAATGCCCCATCTGTCCCAGGATACCGTGCACATCACTTTCCTCGCCGACGTCTGTTTAATTTCGTCTTACAGGGAGATCCACTGTGACGCCACTGCATTGACTGCTGCTTTGTTTCTGGGGTAATGTGATGATCTGGTCCAGAAACTCGTTGCCATCATCATGTAACCGCTGCAGAAATGTCAATGCTGACTCCATGTGCTTTATTTTGTGTTCTGGTGTCAGTTGCTTTGGCACCCATGTGGCGCACAATTTCGTGAACAACAGGTGCTCTGTGACAATTTTGTGCAACAAGGAGCAGGAAATCTGCGGGACATGACTGCTGAGTTCCATAATTGTGATGTGACGATTATCCATAATCCATATCCCGCACAAGCTCCACCAGGTCATCTGTAATGATGGATGGCCACCCACTGCGCTTCTCATCATGCACGCTTTATCGACCTGCTGAAAATTTTCTGCACCAGCGAAGTACCATCTGCTTCTCATGACATTAGGCCCCTAGACCTGGCACAGCTGACGATGAATTTTGATCGGCGCTATGCTCTGTGCATTCAAAAACTTTATCACTGACCACACTTCACAGTGGGCAGGAGCTGGAATAAGAGCCTCCATCTTCAACAGCTGCAACGATGCTACTGTGGGAACGCGGGAAATTCTGTTAGTGCATGCGCCTGGCTACGTCATTGCTCTCTCATGTACGTGCAGTCACTTCGTGCAGTATAAGGTTTGCTAGCTGTGGGACAAGTGGGAAACTTACTTTGTGGACGTGCTACGTATCTTATTCTCCATATTCCATTCTCTTTTATTGGTCCATAAATTTATCTTAGGATTTTCCTCTTGAATGAATTGATGACTGATTCCTCTTTCTTGTTTAGTGTCCAACCCTCACATCCGTAATAAATCACCGGTCTTATCATTGTTTCATATATTTTTGTTTTAATTGCTCAGTGTATATCCTTTGATCTAAAAACTGACAGTAACGAGAAATATGCATTATTCGCTAATTTTATTCTCCTTGTTATTTCATGATTTTCCTCTCCATCTTTATGGAATTTCCATCCTAAATATATGAAGTCTTCAACTATTTCTATCCCATCCCCTTCCATGTTAATTTCTCCAGTTTGCCTTGGATTCCTTCTGGATTGTATCAGCATTTTAGTTTTATTTACATTCACCTCTAAGCCAGTTGTTTTTGCTATGGTTTTTATTTCTTTATATGTCTCCTTTGTTGCTCTTAGGGATCTCGATACTATAATAATATCATCCGCATACGCCATTATTTGCGATTGTTTATACACTATTGTGTTCCTTGTGTCTACATTACATTTCCCCACTATATATTCCAGTACCAAATTAAATAGTGATGGTGCCAAACTGTCTCCCTGTTTTAATCCTTGATTTGTCTTAAAGCATTCCGTTAACTGGTTCTGGATTTTAACTTGATAGATTGTTTCTGTAATGGTTAACTTAATTATTCTACTTAACTTTCTTGGAATACCAAAAGCGGACATAATCATCCTTAATTTCTTCCCTATTATTGTATCATGTGCTTGTTTAAAATCGATGAAGCATAGGTAAATATCTATATTAAATTCCCAGCATTTCTCCATTATTTGTCTCAGGGTGAATAAATTGTCTATTGTTGACCTATTGGGTCGAAATCCTGATTGATATTCCCCTATTATTTTTTCTATATATGGATCCAGTCTCTTTTTTAGTATTCTTGTTAAAATTTTATATGCTGTCAGTAGTAATGATATACCTCTATAGTTACTACATGTTAATTTATCCCCCTTTTCAAATATGGGACATATAATGCTCTTTCCCCCATCTTCTGATATCTTCTCTTCTTCCCACACTTTATTTATAATTCTGTGGAGTACTATTATTCCTTCTCATCCTCCTGCCTTCAATAATTCTGCTGGTGTGTTATCTCCTCCTGGTGCTTTATTTAGTTTTTGTTCCTTTAATGCTCTTTTCACTTCATCCTTTGTTGGAGGCTCTATTATCTCTTCCTCTTCCCCTTCTCCATCATCTGTATTTTCTTCTTCAGTGTCCTCATTATCTTCCACATTCTGATTTTGATTTAATAATTGTTCAAAATATTCTTTCCATGTATTCATGATCTCTGTTTTATTATATTATATTTAAGCATCCTGTTGCACTCTACACGATAAATGATACAAACTCCGTCNTCTGTTTTATTATTTATTAGAAGCTCTTTTTTGTCTCAGATTAATTCTGTTTTCGGTTTGAAACCTTCTTTCATATATTTGATTCGACCAGAGGCAGTTTTTGTTTTGTTATTTTTGAAGTCTTCTTCCATTTGCAGTAATTGCTCGTTTAGAAAGGCCCGTTTCTTTTTCCTGCAAATCTTGTCTGCTTTTCTTCTTGCTTCTTTATACACCTCATTTCTTGCTCTTGTTGGTCTTTCCATATATTCCATATATTTATATATTTCTTATTCTTGAGGTTTATACTCTCCCTGCATTCCTCGTCGAACCATTCTCTATTATCCTGTTTCTCTTGATATCCCAGAGTCCTCTCAGCTTCTGTAATTATTGTGGTTTTAAAATCTACCCATATCCTTTCTACCGTTACTTCTTTATTTGCCCTATTGTCATTAATTTCTTTAATTTTATTTTGAAATGCTTCTCACTTATCACTCTCCATAATCTTGTCAATACTAAATTTCTTACATTTCTCATACTGCATAGATCTTTGACAACTTATTTTACATCTATATTTGACCTGTACTAAGTAATGATCACCATCACAGTTGGCCCCTCTTAATGTTCTTACGTCTGGGATATTCATCGCAAATCGCTTCTGTATGAGGACATGATCTATTTGATTGAAGGTTACCCCATCCGGTGCTGCCCATGTTCTTTTATGTATGTTTTTGTGCGGGAAGTATGTAGAGCTGATGCTCAAGTTCTTACCTTCTGCAAATTCTATTAATATTATTCCATTATGGTTTGTTGTGTCATGTAAACTTTCTGTCCCAGTTACTCCTCTGTATTCCTTCTCTTTACCTATTTTGGCATTAAGATCCCCTAAAATAACCTTTATGTCATTACTTGGTATTGAATCATATGTCTCTTCCATTTGTTGATAGAAATAGTCTTTGACCTCCTCTTCTTTTTCTTCTGTAGGTGTGTGCATGTTCATTAATGTTATATTGAAAAATTTCGTTCTAATTCTCAAAGTGCAGATTCTTTCACTTATTGGTTTAAAGTCTATTATTGCGCTTTTAAATTCTCGTTCTATTATAAAGGCTACACCAAATTCCTTATTGCCTTCTGCTTTACCACTGTAACATATAGTATGTTTCTTTAAGTCCATGATTCCTTTACCCAGCTGTCTAATTTCCTGTATGGCTGTGATTTTCATATTGTACTTATCTGTTCTAGTACCGATTTCATGGCACCCGGTTTATTGAGGGTTTTCACATTCCATGTACCTAGAGAGTAGTCCATATTCTTTGCCAATTGTCGTCTTCCATTCTGTTGAGGTTTCCGAGGCTTGATGCAAGGTTTCGAGACATTTATATTTTTTTACGGTGAGAGGTCGTCAGCCTCTCGCCCAGGAGAGGACCAGGGTATCTCTTTTAGTCTGAGTCATCCCCTTCAACATTTCCAGCATGGGTGGCCCTACCAGTAGCTATGCTACCACCGACATAGCTCTCAGGGTCATTTGACCATGCAAGCCCCTCCACTACGTCAAAGTAGAGACACCATCAGTGGGATTTTTGTATTTAGATGTAAGAATAAAATCTGGTTCTTAGTTAAGTTGATGCACAGCGGCCTCTGTAGTCTAGGGGTAACGTTCCCACCTCATGACTCAAGGTACGCGGGTTCAAACCTGGCGGAGGTCATGGAATTTTTAAGGGCGGAAAAATTCAGAGAACAAGTCCTCTGGGAGGGACTTTAAGCCGTGGGTCCCATGTCATAGCTTTACGGCACGTAAAAGAACCTCATGCCTCAAGGAGACCTCTGAGCCAAATTATAAAAGACATTTCCAGCCCAACAATAGTCTCTAACGCCTCTGGTAGATGGGGGAAGCATCTAGATACCGCTGAGCCAGTAGAGGCCAAACTCGCTGGCTGAGTTAGGACTGATGGCATGCACCAGTATCGGTAGGGTATAGAGACTGGTAGAATATCACAGGGGGACGTACAATAGACCACTGGTCGCGGTGCATGGGGAAACCCACCCCCTCCAATAATAATAATAATAAGTTGATGCACTCTAACAGTTGGAATGTGTGATGTTGGTGAGGTGTTTTATTCAAACTTCTTTCCCTAATGGTTTCCAAAATGACTAAAGACTTGTCCTGAAAATCCATTAATCATACAATGTACATACCTGTTTACCAGTTAAACCCAATGGAATCATCATCACAGAGGAACTACGTGAAGAGTTGAACCAAGCTGCTATGGCTACTACTCAAGCTTATGTTGGAGCGAGGAATGCTTCTGCAGGTAAAGTATTGGTAAAATAATATGCAGGTTTTGTTGTATGTTAAAAACTGAATCCTTCCGGCCACACTATGGCCCTGGGGTCGACTCCGCCTCTAACAGAAATGAGTACCAGAATTAATTAAGTAATTTTCCTGGGAAGTAAAGCGCGGCCAGCGCATAAGGCTGACAACCTTACCGCCATCTGTGAGCCGATTGTCTAGATAATGTGGGACCCTCAACATCTCACAACCGTATGGGCCTTCACAGCCTGTTACAGGGATAGCTTTACTTTTTTTGTGTCTAAAAGTAAAAGTGTACTTTGTTTGCTTGGTAGATAGCACAGACTTTTATAACTAGTAATAAAGTAGAATTTAATCCATCCTGTGACTTTATATACTGGGTTTAAACCTCTGAGTGCTGTCATTGAATGTGAATAGCAGTGCTGTTGAAGCTCCTCTAAACCCATGGCTTGCACCTCTGCTGGTGGCTTGCCTCCCAGCCTTGCCATTTTTAACACACTTGTGATTTGCAGCATATAAAAATAAAGAAAGGAATAGCAAGTATATCTTAGGAGTCAGTAGCTATTTACAGCATCTAGTGGCAGGAAAAATCTGTGTGCTCAGAATGGGCTCTGGAAGAGAAGTGTCTTGTCATGGCTTGGTCTTCGTACCATCACCAACCATATTATGCAACATTTCTATACATTTGTTCATTTAATTGAAATTGTCTCTGTTGCATGTGTATAGAATTAAATGAAAACTTCAAAGGTATAGATAGAACTCTCAGTATTTATTTAATAATTACTGAGACTTTATTTTCAACACTAAAAAGTACATATGCAGCATTTTGTCTAGGTTCAAGAGATAGCTACATCATTGAATTACTATCGCTTCTCCCCTGCAGAAAAATGAGGTTTCACAAGAATATATTCAGATTGAATGTTGGTATCAAGAAGTGGTATTACATAGGAATTCATTTTTGTTTGAAATGGAGGAAAAGCAATTTCAAGTTTAAGGTGTATGTGCCATTTCAAGCAGACACTGATTGCCATAATTTTGCAATATCCTTGGTTTTCAGAAGTTGGAACATACGTATTGCTTCATAATGAAGATGGTATCTGTATCAGAATCATTATTTTCACTCATTTGGCATATGATCTGACTGTGATTTCTATGCATATATTTTTCAACATCTTTGATTATATAACATAATATGGTGAAATTCAGTCTCGTTTCCATGGTTAGAAAGAAGCCAGGAACCTTGAATTGTCTGTGATTCCCTGCAGTATGATTTAAGTAATATGTTAATACACTTTCTAAATGTATAAATTCAATTCAAGAAGAACACTGTTCATGAAAAATTGTATAATATTAACTTACACATTTAAGATGGAAATAGTATGTTCCAGAGAATCCGTCAAGGTCCAGGGCTTCTCATGATCTTTCATAACAAGCTTATTTTGTACGGTGAGGAGTTGTTATCCCCACGCCCAACCCCCAGGCTGGAGGACCAGCCCTTGTCGGCTTCCTGCAACTGCTTATTCAATATATTCACAGCTGCCCTCCATATCTCGAGGTTGTCTCCTCCATCCACAAACCTGAGGATGTCCCATGCCGTGGTGACAAGGGACCATCTAATTTTGTTAGGAGATTTCAATGCCAAAGTAGGGAGGGAAGACATTTTCAAACCAACACTTGAGAATGAGAGTTTGCATTAAGTTAGTAATGATAATAGATTTAGAGTAGTAAACTTTGCCACATCCAGATATCTTACTGTCAGAAGTACATGTTCCCACATCGTAACATTCATAAATTTACTTGGACATCTCCTGATGGAAAGACACACAATCAAATTGACCATATTTTGATAAATAGGAGACAGCATTCAAGTATACTTGATGTCCAATCATTCGCAGCAGCAGATTGTGATACTGACCACTATCTGGTGGTGGCAAAATTAATGGAGATATTGGGGGTGAGTAAATAAACACTGCACAGAGTTCATATGGAGAGGTTCAATCTCAAGAAATTAAATGAGGTAGAGGGTAAAGAGCAGTATCATGTTGAAAACTCAAATAGGTTCAAGGCTTTGGAAAACTTAGGCACTAAGTTGGATATTAATAGAGCCTGAGAAACTATTAGAGAGAATATCAAAATATCTGCCAAAGAGAGCTAGATCATTGTGAATTGAAGAAGCATAAGTCATGGTTCAATGATGGATGCTAAAAATTATTAGACCAATAGAAACAAGCCAAATTGCAGTGGTTACACAATCCAAGCAAAGTAAATGGGGATAATCTGAACAATATAAGACATGAAGCTAGCAGGCATTTTGTTAATAAAAAGAGGGAATATCTGGAAGATAAAATTAATGAACTTGAACAGTAAGAACAAGTCTTGGGTGAGCCTTGGCCTCCTCTGCAACCAGTCTCCACTGCTCTCTATTCCTCATCTTCTCTATCCATCCTTTCGCCTTCATCTTCTCCAGGTCATTCTCAACATCATCTAGCCATCTCATCCTGGGTCTTCCTTTTCTTCTTTTGGAATATAGCCTTCCTGTTAACATTCTCTTTGGCATTGTCCTTTCAGTAATACAACATTTTGAATAGGTGGAAGAACTACTACTCCCAGTTATGAGTATTTAGTAGTGTACATAGGGTCAGTGCTGTCAGGCAGACAAAAATACACATAGCTGAGCTGCTTCGATAAATTTGATTTGGTTCATCCTGGTCCATCACACTAGCTGTATTATAAAAGGTTATCAACTCTGTCCAGTGTGATTGATAAATTATTTTTTTCTCCTTTTTAATCTTTCATCCTTGTCATGTTTCAGTCTGAGAGACCATCTTCAGAAGGACATGTCAATACAAGTTGTAACTACTATTGCAATGTGATTGGTCAGTATCAATACATACATACAGTATCATTACAATGCCATGAATATAAACCATGAGCCTTTAACAATTACATCGACCTGCATGAATACATTAAAATATTTATAAATTATTATAATTAGTTTATTTGCAAGTGTGGTTTAAAAAGACTTTATTAAAATTTAGAATCAGTTTGGTTCATATCCTTTATACTACCTCTCTTTAAAGGAAGTTGAGTGTCCACCACGTCATGGTTCCATTGTTTGATGAATAGGACTCTGTAGTGTCATCCTGTTGTTCGGGCCGCACAGTGTTCTTATAATCATTTATAATATATTCATGCAGGTCACTGTAGTTGTTAAAGACTCAGATTTTATATTAATTTCATTGTAATGATATTGTATGTATGTATTGATACTGACCAATCAATTGCAGTAGTTTTCGCCTGTATTGATATACCCTTCTGAAGATGGTCTCTCAGACCAAAACATGTCAAGGATGAGAGATTAAAAAGGAGAAGAAAAAATTATCAATCACACTGGACTTACTTGATAACCTTTTATAATACAGCTGAGCCATTAGTACCTATTGAGTTTGAAATTACAATTGCAAATTTGAAAAGTTAGAAATTGACTGGTAGTGATCAAATTCCAGTAGAACTGATTCAAGCATGAAGTGAAATATTATGTTGTAAGATCCATAAACTAATTAATTCTATTTTGAATAAGGAAAAATTGCTTGATCAGTGGAAGGAGTCTATTATTGTACCAATTCACAAAAGGGGTGATGAAACTGACTGTAGTAATTATCGGGGGATATCACTTCTATCACCTTCATACAAACTTGTATTCAGTATTCTTCTCTCAAAGTTAAGTCCATACAGATGAAATTATTTGGGATCATCAGTGTAGGTTTCACTGTAACAGATCAACAACTGATCAGCACTTGCATTCATCAGATACTGGAGAAAAATGGGAGTACAATGAGACAGTACATCAGCTATTCGTATTTTTCAAGAAAGCCTATGATTCAGGTAGGAGTGAAGTATTGTACAATATTGTGATAGAGTTTGCGGTACCCATAAAACTAGTTAAGCTGATCAAAATGTCTTTAAATGAAGCATATATTAAAGTCAGCATAGGTAAACATTTGATTGTTTCCTATCAAGAATGGTCTAAAATGAGATGCTTTATCACCACTCCTTTTCAACTTTGCTTTAGAATATGCCATTAGGAAGGTCCAGGGAAACCAGGTGGGACTGAAATTAAATGGGACACATCAGCTGTTGGTCTATGCTGATGATGTGAATCTACTGGATGATAATATAGATTCCATAAAGAAAAACACACAGTCCTTAACTGATGCTAGTAAGTTGATATCGAAGTAAACACACAGAATGCTAAGTATGTGTTACTGTCTCATCACTAGAATGCATGGCAAAATCATGACATAAAGATAGCTAACAGATGTTTTGAATATGTTTCACAGTTCAGATATTTGAGAATGACTGTGACAAATCAAAACCTGATTCAGAAGGAAATTAACCTTTAAGTGCCGAAGTGCCCCGTGTGTGCCAATGGTGAGTAAGGTCGTCATGGCCAAAGTACCCCATTTTGGCCAGTCGGGCATTTAAACTCCGCTAGGGGAAGCGTGCGCACACACCTCTAGTAGAAGCGAATGCACAGTCCTAAATATTTATTTTTAAATGTAGTAATTACCAGACAGACTTGAGTAAAGCCCTAATAGAAAAATTAAAATGATACCTAAGTGAACAACAGCAAAAAAATATACGTATGAGTTATGCCGAAACTCATCCACGAGCCAGTACTTTTATTGCAGATTCTGCAGATAAGTGTGATAAAAATATACAGTAAAATTCGATGTACATACCTTTTTTGTTTTTATCTGCTTGATGTGTATATAGGCTGAAATGAAACTACAGTATTCGATTTTACTACAAACGCACATAAAACAGATCGCACTCTGTAACTCAGCCATGATGCAACTGTCTGTTCACGACCCTAGAAAGGGCAATAATCTCTTGCAGCTATAATGGAAGGTCTTAGAACTGAAGAAGGGACCCCTCTAGCTTTCTCTTGAATAGCCATTCTTTCATTCTTCTGACCTTCAGTCAAAAGATTCAAAAATCTGAAGAGTGTAAGCAGTGCTAGCAGAAGACCAAATGATTTTATTGTTTCCATCTGTTTTATGACATCAGGGACTGCTAAAATTTGTCAAGTGTTACAAAGAGAAATGAATTTGTAATGCAGAACAACTCTGTGAAGAACTGAGTTACCATTTTTGCAGTACTCATCAAAATTAACCCTTTGACGTGGTCATTTAAATTCCGTGGCCGCGGCTCCTGCGGTAATATATTCAGCCGGCCATTTAAATTTTGCTCGAAAATTATTTATTCATCATTGTTCTTAAATTCTATGAGATAGGAACATGAAACTTTCACTAAAATGATCTTAAAAGGTGGTTTTATAACCTTACCTTATAATATGAACCCCCTTTATATCTTCAGTGGAAGCATGTTATTTAGAATTTGAGCAGAGAATGGTACGCCTTGAAGGATGAAACTTTCACTAAAATGATCTTAAAAGTTGGTTTTATAACCTTGCCTTATAATATGAGCACCCGGTATCTCGGCTATGTAAGCAGGTGACGCCTTGAAGCATTAGTCTAAACACAG